CGGTCACACCAGTCTCTGTAGACTAAGCCTGTACTGTACCCCTCTAAAGTACGTCCTAAGATTTTCATTTGCCACATCCAATATTTGCTTTTATATACGACGATGCAGAGTCCACCACAAACGAACCAATCCAAAAGTACAAAGCCAACATTTTCTGCGACCATATGTGTAATTTAATCTAACTGTGGAGCGGTCGATTAATCATAATTTTCGTGAAGCCTTCGATAACCCATTCAAAGATTTATCTGACAGCTTAACTTGTTTGAATATGTCGTATTGGAAACTGAATTGTAAAATATGTTTACACGAGCACGAACATTGTTTGCAATTAATTCATACCTGCTTATATGCAGATCATGACACATGACGTCATGTGCTTTTGAGTGATTATATCAACATTGAACATCTTGTCGGCGGCTGATAAGAACGATCTCTTATATTTTCTCATTATTTAGGTCAGCCTTTCGGCGATCACGGACCTACGAGGACGTAACCTATCTCTTTGTCCATCATCTCCGAGGCTACTTATTATGAAACTGGCTTCGCAAACATAATAACATGGAGTGTTGACAATACTTTCGGATATGTGCACTGGATATTATGGCAACGGCTTGCGTCTTTCGTATTACAGAGGAAAAAATATTTCATAGAGTAATCTTTTGTAAAGTATCTACTAATAAAACCCTTTCTAGTCGATAATATTATGGATATTTTAAGCATACAGTCCGTTTGTATTTACGAAGAGCGTCTAGCATCGAGCGGTAGTCGAAATTCGCAATGCTAATAATACAATGGCCAGACGCACGCGTTGCGCCCGTTTTGATGTCGCCAAACAAAACCAAAAATGATGTACCTTATGCACGGAACGCACATCACAGATTGCTATAAACTTAACATTTAATGCTTAAATGAAGAACTAGACACATTTCGGTGCGCTCCTTCGGTACGGTCGGTCGACCAAGGTAAATTCGCTTCAATTTGTCGGTGAATTAGGTCGGTTTCGCGCAATGGTGTGTGGGGCCTCTTTGTAGGCTACGCTGTTCACGGGCAACTTTCGACAGTCATTGAATGGAGGTTCGATGACCCGACGACGAAGCGTGGTACGAATTTGCATGTGTCAATGACACGGCCGTCTCCAGCACGCAGCCGACGTGGCCTTATACTTTTCCTTTCAGTCGCATCGAGATGTACAGTCGACCCCGTGACACATCGCTGACTCGCTGCCCGATTTTTTTGACACGACATATTTTTCACTTTTTATAATAATTCTTCTTACGAAGAGAGCAAAACCAAATTAAGCAATGATAAAAAAAATTGGAATTGTTGAAGATCATAAAACATCGTGTTAAATTGTCAAACCTGATTTACAATGTGACTGAAGTTACTTTAAATGAGTTTAAACTTTTTGCGATTGAAACTTTCAATTCAAATTCAACAATGGAAAAGGGAATTGGTGAAAGAAAAATCATTTTAGCCGGAGAATTAATAACGAGCAAAGAGTTTGGCAAGAATCTTCAGGCTATCAGACACGTCGGCGCGGAACGTACGAAATCCAATAAAGTACTAACACCACCTGTGTCTTATTACATTCTTTCGGTGGTGCTCACCGCTTTAGCTCCCCTAGATCCGAACTTTCCATGTCAGGAGATTGCTTGTTGTTCAACTTTTACTTTGAAAATTTCGTTCAATTAGTATCAGCGCGATGGTCGGGAAACTTTCTTCGGAACGTTTTTGAAATGTAACATTTGGTTACGGTTTGAATAGCGTGATCGATGAAACGAATTTAGGTCAACTGTTTTTTTTAACGAATAGGGCAAAACTTGGCTGCATTATCCTTTTCTTTTTAGGGATAGCTTTTTTTATCGCCGCTCTTAGATTTAGAGGAAAAGAATACTTTATCTTTGTAAATGTTATGTTACGTTATCGTGCTTCTATTATAATTCATTATTTCCTTTTTCGTGTTCCTTATTTCTTACAAAGTTATAACAACAATAACTCTATAAGTTAAGTTATACTATACAATGAGTGAACGTTGAAAACTAAGTTGTATTGTACCTAATCATCTAATGAAGTAAGGCCATATTTTGATATATCGCACGTTCCATAAATCGTGACGTTTATGCTTCTATAATATGTTGAGTCGGTCGTGGGACAATAGGTCCCTTGGTGGGTGTGCGATTTTAATTGCAAATGTGATATTAGCATATATGCATTGTGAGTTCTTGAAAGGTGCTAGCCCAAGGCAACGCGTCCTCATGATGAATACTGTAGTCTTGCTTTTATTGTCATATAAAATGACACACATCAATTAATAAAAATAACTGACTAATTTGTCGCCATCTTGAAGGATCTTACGATGAATTAGATTGAAAAAATAATGATAATAAAATTAAATAAAATTCCTCCTTTAACTGTATCCATAATAGGACCATTATTATATTAATAAAAATATATATATCATTTTCCTGTTTTCTAAAATAATTATGCTGAAGTCACTAAAATAAGATCAAATACCAAGAAAGTTTGTATACAAAAGTAATATCAACAATAATTTGAATAAAAAAGTAATTTAACCTTTTTTAATCGGCTTTGGTCTTTTCTGTAATTTTAACATTTTGATAAAACAAAATGTTTGTTACATATTAAAATTCTTGAAATTATCAAGCTAAATTATTCGAGACAGAAAATGAAAAAAGTTAAATACCCACCTATTATATATATTTTAATACAGTAACAAAAAGTTATTTCTTCAATTAACAGCTTAAATATAACGTTTTCGTATTTTTTAAAGTGGAATAAATTGCTCTCTGTGCAGTATTCTAGTTATTAATTAGTAAATAGAACATATAACGCATAGTTTTCCGAATGGTAGCACCGAGGTAAATTATAATTAGTAACTGTGTTGCGTAAAATGTAATTGGTTTGCACCCAATTCTGAAGTATAATAAATACGGCATGTTACAAATAACAGTTTAAAGCATTTTTTCAACACACAGTTATCAAAAAATAGGAGGTATTAATTTTAGTTACTCATTTTTTTACAGGCACATTGTTTAAAAAAAGGAAACTCCCACTGAGAAACGAAAAGAGGGGTGTTCGTTACATATAATTAATTATGTTTACATTGACATTAATTTGGTAATGATATAAGTTTATGTAAATATCATTACTACTGTTGGGAGCTGATAAGATTCTTGCGCTCATTCTTCTTATCAGCCAAAATACGTCCATAACGGGTGGTATTTATTTATTTATATATATATTTCTTTATTTATCAAAATGTAACAGAATTAACCGGAAAAAAAATTACGACAATTGTATATTGTGAATTATTTCTGTCAGCTTTATAATACTAATTAAGTAATAATTTTATAATGTCACTGAATACTTTGTAACTATAATAATATCACTCCAGAACTACCTATTTTTATTGAAACCAACAATAAGTACAGGCGTTACTCCAAATCTGAATCTAAATAACTTTTTATACTTTAAATAAATAAGAAACACTGACTCAATATGACAACAGCCAGAGTGACGGTTACTCATACGACTGTACACCACGACGACGAATCTACAAAGAATGAGAATATACTGCGTTCTGCGACGGTGTTTATAGTGGGTAGTATCATTTTATCATCATTTTATGGGTTGCCATATCCATGAAGGTAATATCACTGTTAGTTCTCTTATGCAAAGGCTATACTATTTATTATGTACATTAGTAATTGTTTTCGCAACATTTTAATGTGCAGTAGACTAAAAAAGGACTTAGTAAAAGGCATTTCCATTTAAATTTAAGCCTTAATCTGTGCTTCTGTGTGTAAAATGTTTCAGTTATTCAGAAAACCAAAACAAATGCGCCAGTTCAAATTCATGAAGAAAGCCATTATACTTCATTACAGTTCTACCGTTTCTTTTTAAATAAAAAAAAAAGTTTTAATTAAGAATGATGCAATACAGTCGTTTTATAACTAATATTTTATTAACCTCATGTTATCCATTCATTTTATATAAAAGTTTTAATATTCCATAGGTATAACAAACAAAAATATCTTAAAATATTTTTATAGTTTTCATCGACGTCATCAAAATGGGACTCTTATTGGTGAATTAATCATTATTATTCTTTTTCTACCGCAATGCATTTTACCTCGGTGCGAAATGATATTTAGATTTTTCTTTATATTTTCAAAACTACGTCTGCATCTGTTTTCCCTTTCGTATTTGACGCCCTTAAACTATTGTATCATTTAAAGTGCTCCACCATCTTTCTCCTTCTGATATCTTGGTTGAGGAAAATTCTCTTTTAATACAATATATAAATAAATTCCATTTAGTTGAATAACTTGTATTTTATATTCCTGAAATTCTCCTCCAACAATTTTTCTATCTCTTTGGTTTATTGTTCAAACACAGCAGTTCATAATGTAATGCCGTAAATGTAGACCTTTTTAGTACATAGCCGGGTCTTTTTGCAGGTCTTAGCTTTTGTAAGAGGTTTTTTCACAATTAAACGAGGTTTAAGCCATTGCAATAATTATGATTACATCTATAGCAGATTGCACAATCGTTCACTTATCTCAATTTTCTCAATTACAGACTAATTGACTCTTTCAAATAAATCATGAATAGCGGTAGTCGACCAAAATTTCCATTACATATACGTTTCCCTAATGCAGAATATGCAAACGATTTGGTTTGTTTCCAAGTATAAAAGCATTAATAGTAATATCTGAAGGATTTATATACGGCTATAAAACTTATGCATCCTGTAAAAAAATTTAGTCTTACATTTTTTCAATTGTTAAAAGTAACCGAAGTTCTTTATTGTCGCGACGAAGTTTTAGCTGACTGTGAATATTTAAAGACGAAATCTCGAAAGAATTAAAATGAAATATTAAATGCGAGATAAAAAAATTCACTCGATTCCACTGAAAGTTCTAATCTTCTTATTGGCTATCTTTTTTTGCAAAAAATTACAATAATTTTGGTGAAGACATTTATCTTCATCTACCTATGGAAAAGGTTTCGATGTAGTCTGTGACAAGAAGGTTTAGTCTGTTTTTCTGAAAATGAAATTTCGTCTATTTACGAAACGCTTAGACTCCAAAGAAAGAAATTTTTTGAATAATTTATAATGCAACTGAGATAGGACCTGACAGCGCCTCTGATGCTTAGATAATCTTCACGGATGTGATTTTAACTAAAATAATAAAAATTATTCAAAATTTCCAGAAATTTCGTTCGTAGACAAATAGAGTGGCCTTCTGAATATTCCCGAAAATCTTCGGTGTATTGTAATTTCTAACTAATGCTTTTTCTTAATGAAAAACAAAGTGGATTTTTAAAGTATTTTTCATTAAGTATATTTTTAAGTAATGCATTATGAAATTGATCAATTATAATAATGCTATTTTCTTTTTATTTCCAGGTATGTGCAGTTAAACCATTTCCTTAAGGGTGCAATAGAGCAATCAGTGAGTAAAAAACATATTATATTTGTTGTAAAAACACATTCCTGATTGAAAATAATGTTTGGTTTGAATTCCCAACTGGATACAATACACACACATGTACCTATTTACAGTTTCAATAAAATTTTATTCCACGTATTAACAACAATGGTATCACAAAAGTCAATAATATTGCAACATTACATGAACAGTGGAAGTAACTTGACAATAGGGATGATGACTGGGTAAAAAAAATGCAATTCTATTTAGTCCGTCAGTCAGATAATAAAAAAATATTAGATACGTATTTTTTTTTAATTCAATTTAACAAGAAATAGCTTATATAAAAGGCATTAAAGTTGAGGAGTGGGGGCTCGCTATGTCACAGTTGAGTAGAAAACGTACCCTAACGTGACGTCATGCGAAATTTCAACTCCATGTATAGCCGTAATTTTATGATTAATAAAAAAATAAAAAAGTACGTGTTTAATATTTTTTAACACTCTACCTGACGGACAAACAAATAAAAATTAGTCATCATCCCTATTATACACAGTTTATTTTAATTGAGTAATTATATTGTATAGATAAAAATTAGTTGTATAAATATAAAAGTCTTTTGTAATAATTTTTTTATACATTACTAGCACTCCGCCATCAGCTTCGCCCGCGTGGTCACTAGGAAACTATTTAATAAAATAAAAATTCCTATTATCTAAGTCAACTAATACCCTATCTGTATACCGAATTTATTCAAATTCCGTTTAGTTTCTACGCCATTGACGGACAAACATCCAAACAAAGAAACTTTCACATTTATTATATTATCATTATTATAATTTAATTTAAAATGTTAACGAGCCAATGCGCAGCGTATAGCTAGCTATTATAATGTAATAGAATTGTCTGTGTTATAGCTTGTGTTTACAATAAGCTATGTTCAGACTATAAGCTAGATAAGCTGACGCAGACCCTTTTCTCGAGTCGGCATATGTCACACAGCCGCACACAAGATAATTTTTTCACTGTCACGTTTTTGTGACGTTTTGTGTTTACTTTATATATTGTTTACTAAACATAGTTAAATAAGTTATATATTTACTTTCTAATAAAAAAACATATCTACATTATATAAAATATTATGAATATCCTTTTAACTCAAAATTACAAAACTTTTTTTTTGTGTTTATTTATAAACGTAATAATGTGCGTATACAATAACTTTAATTAATACCATTATGTCTTTGAAGACGTAGAAAAAATTATGTCATCTGGATGTCTTTCGTGTACGATTTAGTAGCGATCTTGTTTCATGAGAGAGAGACAGCTATAATTTTTAGCTTTCGACCATAAACGAACTTTGCTTTCAACGAAGTTGACTGCTAGTCCAATGTGGATGAGGACATTTATAACATTTGATCGAGTCCCTCCACCGGTCGTAGATAACAAGCCGGGGTCTCCGGCGAAATATGAGGAAATGCAATCAAGCGGTCCCATTTCCCACCCCTTTTCTTCGTCGCGATATGAATCGACTTTTTGTCCCAATACTTAATCTTCTTAAATCGTTAAGCTTGAACGACGATACGGTTTCCTAAAAGCTATCACTTGTTTGGACGAATACAAAGCTTTTTCAAACTGCCAGTATTATACGTATAACTCGTACGATTTATCATGACACCTCAGGCACTATTCTATTTGTCCTCGAACGAGAATTTTTAGGAAATTTCAAATAGTGCATCACACATACAATGTTAGATCCTACCTAGGTAAATTATCGAAAAATACGTTTCTTTGGAATCGTATTATCATTCTGAAAGTTTACGAATTTTCATTTTCGGAGAAATGGATTAGGTCGTCGGGTGTTAAATTCATACGAATTGTAGATTTTGTTATATTAATAAGTTTAAGTTTTTTATAATTACACTAGCTGTATTCTCACGACCCTAAATTAATCTATGTTACCTGTGTCTGATGTGTACCGTAGGTGAACAACATTTTTAAATTCAAAACGGTCGTAGACCTGTAGCCTTCTTATTTTAGTACATTACATATACCAGAATATTAGAATAATAAGATTTTCTCCGTGTATTATAAGAAAATAAGACAAAAATGAATAACAAATTGAAACGATTGTTTTTTGGATATAATAAAATAATCAAATATATCTAAAGTAGAGTAATATTGTTTTTCTCCAATAGGTTTAAACCGTATCTATCGCTCTTATGACTTTTGATTATAGTCCCATAAATATCTCACTTTACTTATAAATCTAAACAGTGTTCATAAATGAAAATTATACCAAAAAGATTATAATGGTCCAAGTCCGGTCATTGAATTAATTAAGGTTTTCTTTTTTAATAAAAAATATCGAGCGCTTCGCGATGAAATCGGAAAATATGTGATCTATAGAAATTATTTTCAACTTTTTAAAAGAAAAAAATAAAAGAGTGAGTGAAGTGAGCGAATCCACTTCCAGAAAATTAAAGACAAGTTATTCGATCTAGGCCATTCGTGTGTGGCTATTTTGAAATATAACTAACGTGTGTGTGATAGAATCGCTGTAATAGAAGGCAGCAGTGCATAGCTTGTTTGTACGCGTAATCTCCAATTTAGATGTTATGCCTTGAACAGTAGGGGTAACTGTGATATTACGGATTTGGCAACGTTCGTCGTAAAGTCAACGGTTGACAACATTATGTTTGCTTTCAGCTAGCTTTGTTCACGTGGTCCTGTATTATACATTTATAGATTCCTATCGAACCAATCCGTATGTTGAATGAATACCACACTAAAATCCATTGTATAGTTTAAAAGTAGCTCGGTGGCGTAGTGGATAAGCGCCGCGGCCCGCGATCGTTGTTGTTAAGCAACTTTCGCAAGGGTCGGTCACGGGATGGGTGACCAATAAATTATTAGCTCGAGCTTCTCCGTGCTTCGGAAGGCACGTTAAGCAGTTGATCCCGGTTGCATTTGCAGTCGTTAATACCCTCCAATCCGCATTGGACCAGCGTGGAGGGTCATGGCCCATCCTCCTTAACCATCCATAAGGAAGGCCTGAGCCCCTGCAGTGGGGACGAAAAGGGCTGATGATGATGATGATGATGATGAGTTTAAAAGATCTGATACCGACAGTGGGAGGGAAGCGGCTTTGTTTTATACAATATGTAGTAAGTCAGTTTAAATCTAAAAATTTCATAGGCAAAAACATTGGTTGATATTAGTTAAGTCTCCACATTACAATTTATGACACATTAATGTAAAAAGAAGAAACATCGTGTTTATGAACGAAAAAATAAACGAAAAAATGAAGAAACACGAAAGCTCCTTTCTTATTTTAGTATATAAATATCTTTAAATGTAAAAGGTCTTGCCGATTATCCACACCTTTTCATATTATATGAGCCGTGAAATTAAGCGGTGTTGCGGACTTCGGCGAGATTTAATTTGAAACCCTGTCCTTACCCAACCCGTAAGGAAGCCAACCAGGAATTATTCGCAATCATTCTTAATGAATTAAACACATTTTTTATTATGTTAATTAGTCGAGTTCATGTTACGAAACTTTATGAAATATGAAGTCCTAGTACTTGAAATTTTTGGAATCCCTGAATTGCACACATGAAAATTATTTACTCTCTCCGACACCAATCAGCACGACGGGCCTTACAATAGTGTCAAATTTTTCCACTTAATAATAAACCTTAATACATTGAGTTCAAAATCGGTTGATGAAACTCGACATATTACTTTAGTAACGTTGAACAAATGATTAAGGTTGACGCGTAAAATTTGATAACAATATTCCCACTTAGTCGTTTACCCACCAAAAACACGTTGAAGCTACTGCTTGCGATATATCATTTCATTTTACTAAATGAAACGATATATCGTTGTAATATAGCTAAGATATCATATCGTATGGCTAGAGTGATAGGCGGTCGCACTGCAGAAGTGTTAATCTTTCTCACTTGTGTAATGTAATTTAAAAAAAATATAATGCTAACGTACTGCCAGGTAGAAGGTGCCGACTACTGACTCACGATTGAATTGGGGAGCCAGACGGATCCGGACGTATTAATTGCGTCAGGTTATTGCTCACGCATCCGCGAGGAAATTAGGATCAACCGGCCGCGACTCCACGCCCGCCGTAATCCCCGCGAGACGCGGCGCAAAATTCTCTCAAAGAATATAAGCTATTAAATGGAGCCCTATAAGTCGTTTCGCGACCGAAATAAAATATTACATTTAGATCCATAAGAAAAACAACGGGATTCGGCTGTATTGCAACATTTTACGGCCACGTTGTGAACACACATAAAATTTATAGGCGTTAACGTCTCTGGGCTCACAATAAACAGTTAGTCCGGTGGGTAAGCTGCGGGGCGCCGCGGGACAGTTTAATATTTTCTCTCCACGTATTTTTGAGCCGGTAGTCGGCCGCGGAAGCATCACTCCGCAATTAAGGGCCAGACAAAACGTCTTCGTCGTCGGTTGCGAGCGGGCGTTTCATCAAATATTAAAACCGGCCTGCACCCGGTGTACGAACAAATCCAACGGCGCATTTAATATATTATTTAAAACGGTCTGCGGTTTCCACGGTCGGAGTTTTCTTGCGGCTTTGCAGAGATTTAAGTTTTGTTTGCTGAGGAGGCGGGCGCTAGTGGCATTGTTAGCAGCGACTAAACACGGAGGTGCTATAATGCCTGAAACTTTGCAAACCTGCATGAACAACACTAAACATCCATTATGTTGACTACTAAAATTTTAATTAATATTGCACGCTCGCTCTTAAACCTTATTCATGATTTTATTACACGCATAATTCGCAGAGTATAGCCGTAATTAATTTTGTCTGTATCACGAAAAGGCCATTCTGAATACTGAGCCATACAATGGTAGTCGCAAAATGTGTCCGATGAAAATGAATCGTTGAGTCGTGACGCGCTCCCCGAGGAGTCGCGAGGGCTAAATACAGAAAAACATCAACATTTATCGGATGCGGTATTAACTCTCTAACTCGGCTG